CATTATATTACGATCACGGCCAAAGCCCGTATGTTCCCTAAAGGCGTCAAACCCTTGAGTTATGAATCATATGGTATATTCGATAGGCATAAAGCCCTTTGTCAGCTAAGGTGGATTCAGATTTATCCCCTTAGACAAATATCAACCTAGGTCTACAAGGTATTCTTGGACGAAGCAACCCATGGCTGCTGACAAGGTGCCTTCTGTCAGGTTGGGTCGACTACCTCCTCTGACTAAGTAGACCAGGGATCATGACAGCCCGGGACGACGGAACCATGGGATCTTGATCGGGCTTGTCTTCATTCCCCCCACCATAAGTTTTAAGTTTATGGTGATAATCTCTAAATTTCAAATTTCAAACTTCAAATCATTCAAATCCAAAAATTTAAACTCTAAATTATTGCTATTATACGATAGGTTTATAACCTATTCGACCATTTTAACGACTAGCCTTAATCGAAAGTTCTCTCCTGTTATCAGGAGGGGTAATTAACTATAGGGGCTTGCGCCTATAGGAAACCAGAACTCAGATCAAAAAGTCCTCACAAAATGAGGGCGAAATCTCTAGGTAGTGTCTTATCTAAAACCCAATCTGCCTTCTGAAAATTCCCCCGGAACCTAATCTCGTTAAAACTCTCTATCGTTGTCACACAAACATTTAAAAGAAAAATAGACATATGATGTAGAGAGGCCGGGAACATAACACAAAAATGGGAATTTTTCGGAGCCCACAATTAACTAAAGAGTTTTGCGCCTATAGGAAACCTGAACTCAAATCATAAAGTCCTCACAAAATGAGGGCGAAATCTCTAGGTAATATCTTCTTCCTTCAATTTCTCTTTTTCTCCCTTCCTCTTCTTCATGTTTCTCTATCTCTTACTCTACTGAGAAACACTGCTCCCAAAGGTACAGCCTCTGTTTCGCACTCTAAATCGCAAGACTTTCGCTCCACTTCTGCTTCGCACATTAAATCGTCTGCTAATAGACGCGTGAAAGACCGAATGGGAAGAGCAGTTCACGGAATAAACTCTAATGCGAGCTCTACTTACATCCCTAGCCCTCTGATGGAATCACAACCATTGTATGCTTTGATTAGTGGAGTGATCATTTGCTTAGTGGAATGCTTATTTTAATAGTATGAGGCTAGTGTTAGTGCTGTACTACGTAACAGTAATTAATTAACTATTTAGCATAAATTATAATTTATTAATAAATATAGATTTTTTTAATTTTATTTAATTGTAAACCATAATTAAAGTTAAGTATAATTTAAACTTAAGAAAAATACACTTATTCAAAATTTTCATAGAAGTTAATGTTTCGATAATTAAGGAAAATTTTGTATTGTTACCTGAAAATTTTTAGAATAATTAAAGTTACCTGAAAAGTTGCTCATCCCCTTGATCACCCAAAACACCAACAGATATGCATAGAGAATAAATCAAAGAAGGGTGTCCTAAACCTATTGAAATAGACCCTCTAATCATGTACATAAGGGAAGAAATTATAAGTTTCCCCACATCAATGGAGTGACCAACCTAGATAGAATAATTCAAGTAAGCCCGCTCCTAGGTCACTTCACTGATGTTTGTGCTTGGCAGTAATCGAGCAGAAATAAAATAATGCTAAACTTTTGAAACTTATGTAAGAGCAGAAGTGGGGAAGTTAACTATCCTACCCTCCTTGAATTTCCACACAGCCCCATTATGTGGTCCAATCAGCACTATGAGGATCTCTTGGGAGTCTAGGAGGGAGTGGATGAAAGCAGAAGAATCATCAAATTCTAAGGTTGGGGTTTAATAAATACTATTAATACTTGTACTGTCAAATATAACCCACTTCCCTCTAACAAAACATTTGTTGCTCTAGGCAACCTTTGCATTATAAAAAACTCACAAAAAATACAATACAAGCAATGAGTTCCTCACAAAATTTCTCCCATCCCATCTGCATAATTGTGTACGCTATTGCTCCCCCAGGACTAAAAAATCCTCTCTCCGAAATTAATTGCTTGACAATAATAGAATTAACATGCCCTTCCTCAGCTTCAATGGTAATGAAACGCTTCTTATCATAAGAAGAGGAAAAATGCTTCTTGTCCAAGAAGATCTTTGGTGCCTTTTTTATGCTAGGAACGTTTAAAATTCACAGAAGAAATCTCAAACAGAAGAAATCATCATAGTAGATAAGAGGAAATGCAAGGTATGAATGAAAATTTCGGCTCAAAATGCTATTTAAAGGGGTATAGTGTTGCGGCGCTAGCATCTGTAGCACTACGGCACTGGGCAATACAAAACAATGGTTCAAATGTGGTACATACGCTGGAACTCGAAATGTCATCTTTTTTAACCGAGCCACCGCCGCAGCGTGCAACACATGTTGTCGCCGCGGCGCTGCAGAAGGACAGACGTTGCAATGCTCCACCTAACATAATAATAGCTTTAAATTGACGATGCGGCGCTGAATTAATTTGCACAAATTACCAAGAGCATAAGAGCCAAGGCACTCGAGTTTAGCGTTTAGGCATCGTGAGAAGGCGATCAGGCATTGTGACGTTTGATATTGTGGTGTTGGGCGCTCCGGTAAAGAACAAGGCGTAGCGTGCTCAAACCCATGGCAATGTGGCATTGGATTAAATCCAAATTTCCCAATAACAGGCATTTTGGTGTCCTAGGACCTGATGTTGCAGCGCTAGTTAAAATTTTTTGTGCTTTTCATTAACTCAGGAAATTTCAGTCATCAACCAAAATCACACCAATTGACCACACATCAATTATACAAACTCCAATTTCACACAAATCTTTGAGCACTTGTGTTACAAATCTTCAATAATGAATTGTTCTCTACATCCTCATACAGGTTTTTAGGTCATTTTCTTAGAGTTAGCTTACTAGCAGGGTTAGATATCATCCACGAATATATTTGAATCTAACATAAATCATACTTCTCTCGAAGGACCCAAATGTTCTGCCAATTCCATCATAATAACCTATTCTTGTGGCCACTGTTTTATCAATGGTTTCTCCATTTTACAGAGTAGTGTTCTATCGAGTTATGTTCCTCTTGCTTCTTATAGGATTCAATTCATTGAAGTTGTAGGCCTTGGGAATTATGCGCCCTCATTTGATCATTTCCTTTTATTCTTTTAGCTTGACTCAGTTCCACCTCAACATAAGCAACTCCCTCTACTTTTTGACCAGTTTGCCCTTCATATAACAAAACCGTTTATTTCTGCTTGAGCGCATCTACTTTAAAAGAATACCAATATAAAGAATACTGTGGATTTGTTCCGTCATCTTCAAATTTACTAAATATACTGACTCTCATAGTTGTTCTACTTGCTATAAGAGAATTTTTACTGAAATTTTTAATGAATATTTGAAAGACTCGCCTGTTATTTTCATTTTCTTTTTGAACTTTTGCTAATACCCTCGAAGGCAAATTATAATATAGCTTTTCTTTTATACTATTCTTTCGATAAATGGAGCATTTAAATTGGAAATAAATTTCATAACTCTTCTTTAGTAACATGTTTAATTATATACATGTCAAACGTTATTTTAAACCATAGTTAATCTGAAGAATATATGTTTTATGCTTTATTATCATTGATCACAAAAATCTTACATTACATATATTTTCTTTATAACTAGAACTCACCCTTGATTTTGATGCATTGAAAAATTTCTGAAACTAGTACAATATAGTTAGAAGGGAAATGAAAGTTCAGTGACTATAAATATCCACTGAAAGTCCTTCCAAAATCTCCGAACCAATACTTAGTATTTACATCAAACCCGTAATTACAAAATTTCGTTTGGGACTCCAAAATTACTATACCATGTAAATAACATATTCTTTTGATTTGATGAGCTTAATATCTGCCTTCACAATTTGGTTCTGATGCCGTATTTATAGAATTTTCTAAAATTTGATTGTAATAACACCGTCTTTCTGATTGGAACCATTGCTTGTTCAGGCTCTAATTGGGGATCCGAGAAGTGTCATACATGATGACCTTTTGAAATCCGATGAGTATCTTCAGAGCACCTCCTGTAGTAAAAGAGAGCATGTCTTATCCTCTTCCATCCATGATACTGCTATCATGTGAGTAGTACTTTTACCATGATATTTTTTCAAGGAACTCAATGAAAATTTATAGATATCCTCATTAGTTAATGCGCTCTCTATAGCTTGCCTTGCCAAAAGTTTATCAAACTCGCAAACATTCTCTTTCTTTCTTCCATCTTTTGCATCGATGCTGTGCCATATTCCATTAAAGTTGAGCTTTGTTGCTTCTTTAGCTTTATGGTTTATCTTATAATTGGCATTATCTGATTCAGGTATAGTCTTGCCCAAGAGTATGGTGACCTAATCAACCTCCATGACTGGTATCATTCTTTCAAAACAAAAATACTTATCTCTAACCCTAAAGCCAAGCGTAAGGCCCAGCATTCTCCTACTTCTAAAAAGGGGAAATCTAAAGCACTGGAGAATGAAGTGTCCATCCAGTATCCTTCAACTTCCTGGTTTTCTTATTTCCTTTATTTAATCAGACACTAATGTAGTCAGGGTTTATGGCTTGAATTCCACTGCCCATCATCACCCACACAATCCAATGAAGTGACACCAAGAACTTGTCATCTTCTTATTGTGCCATTTATAAATACTTGGGATTAATGCGTAGAGGTCTAAAATGATTGAATTGTTGTTGTCCTTGATTGGAACCATTCAGAGCAAGGTTTTGCAAAGCAGTCACAGAGCTTCAAATTACTGGCCTAGTTCGGATGCCGAGCAAGAGAAGACCAGATTTTTTGCAAAGAATTGTGTTTGACCTCTAGTCCATTGAAGTATTTGCAAGATATATTAAATTAAAAGCCAACTTCATAGTAAGTGAATCTCTTACTGTCAGTTCTCAATTTCTCTGTCGATGCCAGGTAGTAGTCCTGCACATCTTTTATTTTTTGTTCCTACTTACAGGTTCCTAATTTTGTATTTTTTTATTTGCAGATGTAACTGGAACTATCTATTTCTTGTCAGGATAAGGCTATGTATTCAACCTTTCCTCAGATTTCAAATTAGAAAGAAGGTTCATGCATTAGGTAATCCCTTTTTTAATTTGTAAAGGCATCATAAACTACTCATAACTTCTATTATTGTAGAAAATTTTTTATTTTTGTATTAAAAAGCAGTTTTAAGAAACAAGAAGAAAGCTATTCCAAACGAAGCCTTAGTTCACACTAATTTTGTGTGGATTTTATCATTTGATATACTATCAATTCAGTTGGCGTGATTCTGGCAAGTGATTATAATATATAACGGCTTGATTTTGGCAATGATGTTGACTAACTAGTTCAAAAACATCTTAGAGAAGAAACTAAATGACTGAAATTGATTAATTTGGGACTTGAAGATAGGTCAAGAAATAATGATAATGTTATCCACAATGTAGAAACTTAATAGTTCAGTTTGAAACAGTTAGCTAAGGTGAGAACTGAATTGAATTTGAAACAGTTAACTTTAAAATATTCAATATGTAATATTTTGATTCAGATTATTATAATATTTAATTATTGTTGATATTATTAGTATATCACTGATATATTATTTAGACCATATTAATGTTCATTGCATTATTTGTGGGCTTTGAAAATTCATGTCCCAGTTTGTTGGTGCTTTGAAAATTAAAATTTTTATACTAAAATTAATTTTATTTTAAGAAGTAATAAAAAAATCATATCAAACAAAATCTAATTTTACATAGCATTCATAATGTTGTTTACTTTACTCTTATTATTTTAAGAAAATTGTAACTGTTTGGATTATTTGTTACTTAAAGTAATGCTACTGTCTAGTTATGCAACTATAGAATGTTTTCCAAATTGATAGTTATATCTCTCTATTATAGCAAATGTTCTTGAAACATTTTAAAAAAAAAAATCTCTCTATTATAGCTATTAATTTCAAGGTTTTGAAAATCAGACTGGACAACGAACCGGAAAAAGGAGAAGTTCACGGTTCGATGGGTCGAACTGGATGACATAATAAATAAAAATAAAAAAATAAAATAAATGTTAAATTTTCTAATAACATAAACATGACATCAATTAATATAAATATGTCATCAATTAAGTTTATGAAATATAAACAAATAACACATAATATAAGTGTCGCATTAAATCAGTGAATAAAACATAAACAAATGCATAACTTTTGCAGTAAAGAAAATGTTTATAATTTCATATCAAGTCAAACTTCAATGTTCAAACATAAATATGCAAATAAATCTAAAAGTCATATCCTAGATTTGAAGCATCAAAAATTATATCCCTAAATCCTTGTTTATCAAAGCAATTCCCTCCAAAAGCATCAATATCGTCATTGTCAATTATTTCATTGTCATTTTGAACATCATCATATGCATATTATAAATATAAAATACTAAATATCTTTTTCAAATGATATAACTTAAACTAATTATGAACTTACTTTGAGCTTAAATGTGTAAAAAAATTACTCAAAAAAATAGAAATTCAAAAACCTGCGTCTGGATCGTCCGAGCTTGACGGATCGGGTAGGCGGCCAAATGTGACTTCTTCCCCAGCTTAACTGGCAAGGTCGTCGAGCAGTAAACGGTGTTCGCCGGCGGCTGGGAGGTCCGGGGCGATAACTTCTAGAAGAACTGAGGGAGAAGAACTAGAAGTGTCGGGTAGGAGTCGTTGCGTATGCGGCAGACGAGCCGCGAGCGACTAATACCTCATGCATACTGATACCCAATGTATCTACACCGTCCGATCGTAGATCAAGGGCTCAAATTAAAACTTTTACGGACCGGCCGGTTATTCCTATACCTCCTGGTTCGACGGTTAACCAGTTCAATCGGGTTTTTAACCGGTTTTTACCCGGTTAATAAATCACCCGGTTCCTTCCTCTTTCCAGACCGCCCGCCGGACCGGTTCGCGGTTGAACCGGTCGAACCGGCCGGTCCGGTCCGGTTTTCAAAAAGTTGATTAATTTACTCATTATTCTAGCTGTACTTTGCTGTATTAAATATATTGAAACCACGCTCTATTGTACTAACTTTGTAGTTTGATCTATTCAAATTGTTGGAGTCACACTTTATTTTGTATAGCCCGTTAGAATCATATTTGATTCCTGATTGAACCTTACTCAAACTTTATTTAAAGCTTATTCAAACATTATGGGAACTCTATAAGAGCCGTGTTAGAATCATGGTTGAACCATATCCAAATAAAATCTTGCTTAAACATTGTTCAACCCACGTTTGTTAATCGAAATTTCTTTGAACAAGGGTTCAAAGAAGGTTTGAATAATGACAGAAAAAGTAGAAATGTTTTGGTCTGAATGAAACTTTCAAACATATCGCACTAATAAATAACATATTAGATATATTTCTCAAATTTCAAGCACTATGAGTCATATAAAATCAAATTTCTCATTGTCATTAAAAAATAAAAGATCTTCAAGGAGAGTAATAATTTTGATTACAATTTTGTGTTTGATGATTTTTTTTTTTCTTGACAAAATAAATTTAGCTTTGAATGAGAGTTCTTAATTGATGATGTAAAAATTTATGCCAACAATAGTGGATTTTGTCTTGGTTGATAAAATCATGGAGATAATATTTGATTATGAAGGCCATTGACAAGCATTTTGTTTAATCTCATGTGAGGGGGTGCCAAATCTCAAATATGATGCTCAGTAGAACACCCATCTCAATGTCTAGTCTAGATTATTAGGTGCGGAGTACGGACGGGAAAAACCGTCCGCACAAGCACTATACCCAGCTAGGTACCGGCACTTGATACTGCTGGGTACTGCTAGGTACCCAATGCTTGGCGGACGGTGCACACTCCACCCCTAATAATTTTTCCTCCTAGAGAGGATTGTAAAGAGCCACATGATATGTCCTTTGAATAGATATGAAGGACAAAAATAAAATAATTATATGAAAAGAATATGATAGATGATCAAATGTCATTAAAAAGCACATAAGATGAGCAATGCATTATTGTCTACCATTCATGGCACAATTGGCAAGTAAAAATTAGAGAATTCATCGACAAGTAGATGTCAAGCCAAATCCGATAGTTTGGACGGAGTTGTTGGAGTTGGTTGAGGACGTCAAGAGATAGGGATGTACTCATTTGATGAATTAACAAGTAGTTAAGTCTTCATTTGGGACAATTTTCTTACTTCTTAAACATCTTTTTAGAAAGCTACTTTAATAAGCAATAAAAAAGTTGTCCCAAACGAAATCCAAGATTGCAACACAACAGAATTGTCAAAGCACATTCATATGGAACATGATAGTTTGAGCAACAAATCGGTGATCCTTTTTTTCATTTAGCCGCACAATTTTATTTATATGTATAAGAAAAAGTGATGTGAAAAATACTAACATTATTAGAATAGAAGATTTAAAATTAATACTACATAAATTTCAGAGGATTACTAGTGATTAAGATTTTAATTGTGCAGAGAACTAAACTTTATTTCTTGATAAAAGAATTAAACTACATAGGTGTACATTATACGAACATTTAAGTAGATCCAAATAACCTTAAGAATGATTGACAATGAATACAACAAAATATCTAAATCTCGAGTGGTTAACTACCAAATTAGGATCCCAAATTTTCTAAGTGGGTATGATCTAAATAACAATGTTGATGGACTAGTATTGAAGGAAGGAAGAAAATGACACACAAAGCTATTTACTCAATTCATAAGCAAGGCAGTCAAACGTAGAAAGAGGCAAAGAGAAAGAGACTTAAATTTGAAGCTCGTTGAGAAGAGAATAATCCAAGTAGTAGTACCAATGGTATGAAGTGGTTATAGAAGAAAGGATACAAAAAGCATTAGTAGTCAAGTAGTTGATGTCACTGGATTCAACACCTCCACCATTTATCTTCCTCAAGCTGGAGATCCTAAAAGACATGAGGAGAAGAATAAATAGTTAATGAACAATTATGAATCTTGATAAGATGAACAATTACATTGATCAAACTTTAGAAAATAGAGAACTCCTCATAAATATTAGTCAAAAATAATAACAAAAAAGAAGGAAAGATCATCAACAATGATAAGAGGTGAGATGGCATTTGGAGAGACAAAAAGGATGATGATTACCTATGATATTAGTCAACAACAATACCAATAACAAAAAAAAAAAAAAACAACAAGCCTTTATCCCACTACGTGGGATTTGCTATATAAATCTGTTATCTCCATTGTGTTTTGGTAACAGTCAAATTTTTATTTAAATTTAATAAAAAAAGGTCATTTTCAATATTTTCTAACCAAGTTTTTTTAGGTCTACCTCTCCCTTTCTGTTGATCCCTAAAGCAAATCAAAAAAATATGAATCAAATAATGTGTGTGCATACTTGTTCAAATCTCCCGAAATTCAGCAGGAATCTCGCCAAGACACTGTATACGCGGCGTCGTTCGCATCTCTTCCCGCAAATCCCTCAACATCGCTCTGTTTTCGTGCTCCCATCTATCTATTAAAGAGGCAATGAGCGGAGGGGTTCGCTTCTTCAACCCCTTTGCCTGAACTCCCAGCATACCAACGCGTCTAGTCGCCAAAGCCTTTCCCTCCTCTCGCGATCTAGATCGAACCCAACTCTACCTCCCTCGACTCCAGTCCGACGCAAATGCCAATCCTCCTACCAATTATCCATCCCGACCCCTCGCTTCTCTCCTTCTCATTCGCACACCCTGACGCCATCGAATCCGCAATATTCATGCAAACTGATAGAAGTCGTTTACAAATATTCCAAGAATGCTCATGCACATGCACCGTAGTTTGTATACAAATAGGTACACAAAGGGGTAAGTGTAATCAAACTCGTTTTAATAAAGGTTATGGAATGTGATTATCTATATTCTGTGCGAATTTGGTAAATTTTCTTTGCAGGAAATTTTGTGTAAATTCTGTCTACTGTCGTTGTGCTGCCCGATTTTTGTCTGATTTCGGATTTGCCCGGATTTCTTCTGAATTGAAAGCGGTCCGGCTCGGGCGGGATCCGTCCCCGTTGGGTCGGGTCGTGACACATGGGCCCCGACAAGTGTGTTATTGGTACACATGTGACATCTAGGGATGCTACGCAGATCAATAAATTTGAACCCGATCCTTCTAAGCAGGTAAATAGAAGCCAACAAGGTTCAACCAATAATTATAAAATGCTACCAAACATCCACATGGGCCCCGGCGAGCGTGTGTAAATACACATGTGACGTCTAGGGATGCTACGCGGATCAATAAGTGAATTCAAGTTCGAACCCGATCCTTTTATGCGGATCAATAGGAGTCGATAGAGTTCGAACCATCAAATAAATATACAGTTGTGGTGACCAATATATTTATTTTAATACATTCATATTAGTCCTTCAAGACCTATAATTATGAGAATTCACTAATAAAGGTATAAAGTCTACAAAAAACTCAATCCTCTATCGACGGCTCGACATAGTCAATAAGGTTCATCCATAAAATGCAAATATTTGTAGTCCCACACCCAAATGATGGCCGTGTTAAATGCAGATCTCAACCGGAGGGATTAACTCCAAATATTTCAAATTCTACCCAAATAACAATAAAATAAAAAAATATTTAAAATTGAAATAATCTATTCAAATACACTTAAAGCAAAATGCATCCACCCTCCGCAATAGTTTGCTAGGGTGGACAAATTAAAATTTACTTTAGGTTACACAGAGTTAATGCCTAGTCAAAAATATTACTATGATCCATTCTCAAATAATCCCATACTAGTAGGGACGTGATACGTGTCCTCTAACCGACGATTTTGCCGCCAAATGACACCGCAGGATAAACAATTATGACCTGGGGCCCTCTGAACTGAGTGGCTTTGCCGCCCAATGGCAGCACGAAATACCGATTATGGCCAGAACAAATACGCTCCTTAGTGGCATCAAAACCTTGAGATATGAATCAGTAAGATATAATTGATAGGGCGCAAAGCCCTATGTTAGCTAAGGTGGATTCAAATTTATCTCCTTAGGTAAATATCTACCCCAGGTCTACAACGTACCGTTGGACGAAGCAACCGACGGCTGCTGACAAGGATCCTTCTGTCAGGTTGGGTCGACTACCTCCTCTGACTAAGTAGATCAGGGATCACGATGACCCGGGACAACGAAACCATGGGATCTTAATCGGATCCATCATCAATTCCCCTACCATCCGCTTTAAGTGTAATATGGTGAAATTTTCATTTTAAATATCAAATCTTCCAACTTTCCAAATTTCCAAATCCAAGCCTATTGTTGCTACTATATGTCATATAACATGTATCTCTATGTATCTGATTGACGAATAGCCTTAATCGAAAGTTCTCTCTCGTTATCGGGAGGGGTAATTAACTATAGGGGCTTGCGCCTATAGAAAACCAGAACTCAGATCATAAAGTCCTCGTAAAATGAGGGCGAAATATTTGTGTAGTGTCTAATCTACAAATACATCTGCCTTCCCAAAATTTACCCCGAAACTTAATTCCGTTAAAACTCCTCCCCAAAAAGAAAAGCAAAGCGGGTGGAGGCCAGGGCCGGATTTTTGGAACCCACACTTTCTTAACATATGCCAAATCTAATACATCTACTCTCTTAATCGGGTCATAATCAGGTCATCGTAAGGTCAATATTTGATGTGACCAAGTACTCTAATGGGACTCTCCCGAATCTTATCTGTCACTGGACCTACACCAACATTTTCATGTATATACTCATTTGCATTCTATCTCTAAGAGCCACGTCACTCATCCACCTGAGCATCCTCATCTCTACAACACTTAATTTTATGTTTATCTTTTAATGGTCATCATTCTGTAATAGCCCGTATTTTAATCCAAGCAAAAAAAAAAAAAAATTCAGGAGTTATTATAAATCTGAATCACAAACTGTCTTCACCATAACATATATATTATAGTGATTTAATTATATGAATTTTTCAGATTTTTCACAAGGAGATTTTGAAAAAAATAGTGATTTTTATCAATTTAAAATTTTATTTTGAAATTTAAAAATAGTGATTTAGTTCAATTAAAGTTTTAGAAAATTGCTATATATGATCTCTGATAATTTGATTAATTTTTTAAAAAATAAATTTTTGCTCAGTATGATTTTGTGTTGCCTATTGTTAGGATATTTTAATACTTCATCAATTAACATCAATTATGATTTATTTACTATAATGCATTCGTAATGAATGTTGATATGTTGCTACTATTTTTATAATATTGTGATAATAATGTGTATATGTAAATGATAAGTAAAGACAGGTTGACCGGTATGTTGGAGATTGATTGACTTGTACAGGATGGTGAGTCGACGATCTTTCCTTTAAATATCATGGTTTCGTGTCGTCCTTTACACTGATTCATGTGATACTGATTGGGAGTTATAATAAGCTATTACTGTGCCGACGGGCAAAAAGTGACGACTTTGTTTACTGAGCCAATAGTTACTAACTATTAATTATTGAAAAACATCGTGATAACCAGAAGTTCTTGTTTAGTGTAACAACTGAAATGCATGTTATTAAAGCATTATTTTTATTACTGTACATATTTATTATTATTGCATATATTTACTGTTATTACATTATTTTACTGATTTGATATTGATATAGAATACATGAATAGTACATGTACACTCCTATATGATTTTACTGCATTGATATGATTTGGATAATTTTTACTGATACTTTAATTTTATCGCTTTATACAATTTCTTTATAGATTAAAAGTACTAATACGACGATTGCTTTAGTGATTCGACACAGATTTATTGATTTCTTTATTACACTGCTTTGTTAGCTTATTTACTGCACTATTTTATTGTTTATAAATTAAATTGTTATTGCATGTGAGTTTTAATATTTTTACTCTCATGATTATTATTATAATGATTTAATTGTTGATTTGCATATTACTCCTTTAGCATGTTTTGAGTTCAGTTGTAAGATTTAATTGCTTATTGGCAAACTCTTGAGCTCATTATATGTTTTAAATAATTTTACATTAGGGCGGCAATGGAGTAGTTGAGTAAGATTAATCAGATCAAGCTTCTCCAAATTTACCATTACTTTATTTCTTTCAATCCTTTAACTATACTTTTGTACTCAAATATGTATAAATCTTGAGTAGTGTATATGATTTTAAGAATATATTATATTGCTATTTTTATCGATAGTTTTATTTTTACTACTATTTATATTTATGAAAAAATTAAATAGTTTTGATTGTGTAAATTAAATGATAAAAGAATAATTCTTTCAAATTAGATTCAGAGACGTCACATATTATGCATCATAAAGTATTGTAGGTCATGTTCACGACCACTGTTTGTCTTTCCACCTAGCCCTTGGCTGCCCATGCCAAGCTTATAAATAGCCACCAAATTTGATTGATCTGGATTTAGAGATTGTGGGTTGCACAGTTTGGTGATGTGAAGAACCCAAGTAATATTAGGCACTTGGTGCCTGCTATTAACTTAGAATATTAAAAAACATGCATATTACATGATAAACTTAGAATATATTATTTCTTATAAAGAGAGCTATAATACTTATGGATCTACATATCACCTTGCTGGAGAGAGAATATTTTAAAGAAGAGACATATAACATGATAAAAATTAGTTTTTTGAAAAAAATAAGTGGAACAAAAAGTCTTATATCTACTAAGCAAAATCTTGAAACATAATAATTGAGGTTACTGATGGCTTAAGAGTATTTAATAGAAAATAAGAACAGTGCAATCGGACACTTGTCACTATTGTCTAGAGAAAATGCATCAAGAATCAAGATAGTGGAGTTTGTATGAGAATCGATGAGGAAAAGCAAAGCCTTTGACTGTAAGAGATAGTTGGTACCATTAAATCTAATGACAATATCAATGATGATGAATGATTTCATTTTAGGGATAGGAGAGATGAAAATCTTGACATGGTGAGAAGATGGACACAGACAAATCAAGAAGAAACTCAAATCATAGGGATGAGTAGTTCAAACCATGACCGCTCATGCAACGAGGTTAGTTTGCCAGATGGAACTTTTGTGGATAGGATAAAAGGCGAGGGTATAAAAATGACACTACAGGAAAATCATCTATTACCGGCGGTTAAGGAACCGCCGGAACTTTCCGGCGGTAAGTGGTGATTTATGCGAATGCATGGGATAGTGAGTACACAAATCATGAGAGTACATGCGAGCGGCAAGCAACAAGAAATGAGCGCATCAATGACATGAGAGTGCAAGCAGAATAGCTTGCGAACATTGGGGGCACAAGTATATAATAAACACACCATAAAATAAAAAGAAAGAGAAAAATAATCACAAATAAAAGAATAATAAATAAATCTTTTTTTGCAAATCAAATACTCATCTAATATAAATCTGTCCTAATACTATTTTTTCTAAGCTACGCCATATACCTACATGATCTAATGAATAGAACTATCCACTTAACTATGCTATAATGGATCTTTTAAAGAACAAAGAGTAAAGATTGATTACAACTGAATTGAAACAAAGCACCAGCAATATACTGCAGCATAATAGAATTGTCATAATTTTGGATACCATAACATTAAAATCTTAAAATGAAAGCTTTCTGGGCAAAATGACTAAAAGTATGTGCAAGTCCCACTTCTCAAATTGCATGGCAGTTGCAACTCTAACTTAGGCTTCGTTTGGGACGGCTTTTTTATTGCTTCTTAAAGCAGCTTTCTAGTTCAAAAATTAAAATTTGTACACTAAAAAGCTGCTTTAAGAAGCATTAAAAAAGCCATCCCAATCAAAACCTTACTCTGCCATGTGCTCTAACTTGCCCAAGGTTGATAACTTGCTTTGCCGTTCTTAAATGCCATTCAAATCTTCTGCATTCAAGCTTGGCTCATGGATTCAACATCCTCCAATTAGTGGATAAAATAGCTACTATCAAACTACAATCTTATATGATGAGAATTATTTGAACATTGAAATTTTTATCAGAAAAGCAGAATGTCAGACAGAACTCCTTAGTCTACTTAATCCAGTCAGAGGATATCAAATCTGACCGACTAGCACCAAAGCAAGAGCTGATCAGCAAAACGCTTTCTGAAGGAAAGGTCATTTCGTATTTTACAGTAATTTTGAGATTTTATCTTTCATATTGCATGTATGATAAAATACAAACAGGTCATATCACATGCCATCACCTAACTTGTATAAACTATAATTAATATAAACTATAAATGCTGTAGGTGGATATGCATTTGCTGCCTTTGTAGTAGCTGGATCGACTTCTTTTGTCAGAATAGGATGATAGAGTTAATAATTTCGGACACAAATATGATTTTAATATGCACATTATATGTTTTTGGTTGAGCTGTAGCAAACTTACTAGATTCGTCGAGCCGTCAGCAATCAATCCTTGTAAATCATTTTTTTCTCCCTTCAGTAGAACAAACAAAAGGTCCTGCGCATCAATTGAACAGAATATGATATTTTACCAGAGTTTGAATAAATCCATGGGAAAATATCAAAATATTGGTAACATTATCAGGATTCGGCACAAATCCAATAAATCACCAGGCTTCAGTAATCGTTAATCAATAAAACTATTGAAAATTGCTCTGAGTTGATGAGGCCCTAGTAATTCATCAAACACTTGTGAGAATATCGGGGTTTAATAAAACCATGGTAGAATTATGAAGGTTCAACATAGCCTTTTGATGAATCTACCAAGATTTATGAATTCCTAGTAATTCGTATAAAAAAACAGAGTTTGGCACAAAATGGATAAAGTTAGCAGGGTTTGGCACAACCTTGATAATAACTACTAGGTTATCAAAATCACTAAAGTTTTTAAGTGTCTTAGTTCATAAAAAAGTTTGAATTTTGAGGACACATCACTGCTGTTGAAAAATAATGTCCACAAATAAACCAAATTATAGGAATTTTTACCCCTTGTTTTGTTAGTTCGACTTGGTGATGATTGTTAAAAGATACAAACTAGCATATTTGTGATTATGTCCGAAGAAATGATTGTTAGACGATACAAAGAAGCACTTTTGATTATATATGAAGAATTAGTTTTCGTTTGGGACGGCTTTCTTACTATTTCTTAAAGCAGCTTTCTAATAAAATTTGTGTGCTAGAAAGCTGCTTTAAGAAGTAGTAAGAAAGCCATCCCAAACGAAGCCTTATGCAAACTACTATCAACAGCCCCGGTCATTTTAGATGGCCAGTCAAGATATTCCAGGTATAATTCTTTCAATTGCTCATAAGGATTCGTACTTGGTATTATCTTGACATTTAAATACAACAATAACATCAAGCATTTATCTTGACATTTAAATAGATAAATAAAAATCCCCATATTAACTGGTTATACTCAAATGAAGCCATTGAGTTCAGTCGTTAAACAAATAGGAATGGAATGATATGAAGAGTCTTCGCATTCTTCTGGCCTGGTTCAAATGTCAGACCGAACTACTTGGTTATCAAATTTCTATTTTCTTCTTTAAAAATTTAATTAGAATACTCCGCTATCAAACATTAATTTGCACCTTCCAATTAATACAAAACAAGTGTTTTAGGAAGTAAAATAACTCTGAAACCTAGGAGTCAATGAAGCTGGAGTGAAAGCTAATGATTCAGATATCTAGTTTGATATTTTGTTCTCAATCATTTCCAATGAGGAAATGAAACCATCACTTTTGAGATCTAGTAAACTTCATCCAATATTCACATTAATTTCTAACTTCATCCAATCACATGATGAAATCTGGTAAACTCATCATTTTCAGAGCACATTTTCTAGCTTCTAGCAACAAAATGAGCCCTTGATGCTATTCTTGTGGTTACTTAATACTTCCACTTTGAAGTAATAAAATAGCCTTAGCCATCAGTTCTTCCATATATTGATCATTATATGGATTTTAATGCAGCTAAGAGATATGGAAATAGTAAGCCAAAATAGTACTCATTATATTTGCAAGAGGTATCAGAAAGAAGAATTAAAAAAAAAAAAAAAGATGAAAGCATTAAGATGGAAACGATATTGCAAGAGATTCTTTATCGAGAGTTTAAGTCGGGGTTTTTATTTAGAAGACCAAAATGAAAAGACATAAATGAAATATATTACAAATTGATCTAAAAAGTTGAAGTTAAATTTGCTTGAAAAACATGCATGAAAATAAAGCTTTAGATTCATATGGTACATGTTATAAGATTTGGAGAGCCATGAACAATATTGCAGTAGTTTTAGCTAACAAATTCTTTAATAAAATCCTAAAGGAAAAGATGATCAAATGAGTAAAAAGAAATATTTTGGTGCTCATTCTTCAAAAACAAAAAATATATTCACAATTGAGATAATTAAAGTTTAGCAAACTTATGAGTAGTGGAATTAAGTCATAAAATATGGCTATGATTATATGACTCGAGAGTACTATGTGCTAAGAGAATGTCATGTAGAATTAAAAGTAAATTTTAATAAAATTTGGATTACACCAACTTCTATGCACTTCCAATCGGGCAACAAAAGGGAAATTAATAACAAAGTTAGTTGTAGCATAAATTATAATGTTAGTAAATTGAAGAAAGATAAAATGAGAACTAATTATAGAAGACAAAAAAAAGTGGAACAAAATGAAATTATGATAGTAGAAAATAAATAAAAGAGAACAGAGGACAAAGAATATACCAAAAAAATAATAGATTAAACAAGTATAAAAAGATAATAAAGGAGAAGGGATTACACCAAATGTAACATGGGTTAGACATTATGCAAACACTCACACAAATTAGAATCAATAGCACTCGACTAGAATGCAGAAGAATGATGATTCATAAATCGAATCCTAAAGATAATTCTAACGATGATATTGTTGATGAGAATTGTTGATGAGATTGCTCATTAGCAATGATATTTCTCATTTAGTATGAAGATTTTCTCTCTCTCTCTCTCTCTCTCTCTCTCTCTCTCTCTCTCTCTCTCTCTCTCTCTCTCTCTCTCTCTCTCTCTCATATCTTTGCACTCCCACATCCTTGAGAGGTAAGAGAGTCGCCCCCTCCCCCCCCCTCTCTCTCTCTCTCTCTCTCTCAAACCCAATAAAACCTGCTAGAAAAATTGAATTAAATTTAATGCAAATAAAAGGACCACATCGTTGATTTTAATACCAAATTGCTTAATGGTCAAGAACATGACGACTAAACCCCAAAAACGACATTTATATCAACCACATCACCCAAAATTTGAATATACTCTAAAAGGTTGAAGGAAATCGTAATTTATTTGTGATTATTTACTTCTTTTTTTTGCTAGTTTAATTTTATTTCTATATTTGAGTACATGTAATGATGATGGATGAGAATGTTTGTACTAAATTTTTTTAGCTTTAGATTAATTCATTTGTTTGTCATGATTTCAGTTTTAATTTAATTTAGTTAATTCTCATAAAAGATTGAGTAACTAGGGAGGATTGCCTTATACTTTCATTTTTGTTATTTTAAGGTATTTTAAAGAATGGTTGACTGTTGGACTACAGCTAGGTGGGTTTTGTGCTCTGGTTTTGAGTATCAAATTGTATAATTTGAATTTACTCATTAATACCAAAGAGGTAGTTTTTTTTTTTTTTCCTTTCTTGATGAGCAGTGGCATGTTATGCACGTTCATTGTTGCAAATTCCTCTCTGCTATTCTATGAAGATGTTCATTTTGTAGTAATAGTGTGCTGCTAGCTTCCATGAGGTAAATTTTGATATTTGACTTAAATGAGGTGGCGCTAACATTGAAAAATACCATACAGGCTTAATCAGGCATTTTAAATTACATTTGGATTTGGGCCACTTCGTTGGCAATCACTGCAGTTAATTTGGTAAATTTAAATCATTTGCTCGACTAATTTGGGATTTAAGATTAAAATGAAAATTAAATTAAATCTAAATTGAAATGGATCCATGTGCCAAACTCATCTACTAATATAGGTTATGATGAATCTCTAAATAGTGATATGAGGTAATAATTCATAACTTCAGCTTGAATATTATTTATCATTTTAGTTCAATCTTGTAAGTGCTAGTTGAATGTGCAATTTTTTTAATTGTAGGATATATGCTACTAATTAATTCCAACAAAAATCACTCCTTATATCGATGTGCGGATGTGAGAACTGGCTAGACCAGTTCAATACTTCAATCAAACCAGTCCTTTCTCCAGCGGCTAGCGGGCGAAGTTGAGCGAGCGGGTAAGCAAAAACCTGACTCCTCGAGTGGAATGACTCCAATTCGCTTCGTCCCATTAAGACAAATGAGCGAAAGGAGTCAACTGAAGGTGGTAACCATGAGGAAAAAAAGAAATTAAGAAAGAAAGATAAGTAATTTGGGTTAGGAAGGAAGAAATTGCATGGAAGAGAAAGTTGAGGGAGGAGTTTTGTCTACCATTGAGGTTGTCGAAGGATCAGAACTACTCTTAAGGAAAAAAAGTGAGTTTCCATTTCTAACAACAAGGAAATAGTAAGTCTGTTTAAATTTTCGTTTTTCATGTTTAAATTTAGAAAATGAATAAATGTATGAATTTTAGTCTGATTGAAATAGTAGTAATGAATTGTATGTTTTCATTTTAAGAAAAGAGTAGTTAAATTAATTCTTAACTGGTGACATGTAAATCCTCAATTTTGCATGAAAATACATGACACCTCATATTAGTTACATTAAGAAATCATAATCATGAGTCGTCAAGCATCATAGGTGCTCTTTTCTTGGCTTCATTGAAGAGGCATGAATAATAGCTTAGTGAAATGCGGATCTCTGTTTGGGATGTTCAAATCACAGCAATGCTTAAATGGGCATAACAAGTTGTGGTTATCCAGTTCCAGAACATTGAACAGGATAAAGACAGGTGATAGTTCTCATGCATGCTGATTTAAGTAGGCAATGGAGAGATGAAGGAAACATTGTAAATAAATTTTTATGTAACACATTGTAAATAAATTTAACCATAACTCTCAATATCTTCACCCTCCATACATACATTTTTTAAAATAACATAAATTAGATAATGTAAGGCAGTAAATAAAAACAATTGTTCAGTACTATCATGCAATTTTTAATTCACTAAGAAGCAATTTGTCAAGGAAAACAAAGAGAAAACAGGGAACATGTACAACCAATCAGAAATTCACATTACAAAATTAGCACAGAACAGTAACTTAAAAAAGCCTACAGCTATGGTTGAAATAGAACCCTTGAATTTGGTATGAAAGTAAGGAGCAAACATATTAAATCAGAATTTCATAAGCTGGGCATACTTTTTTAGTTAAAATTGAATGCTTCCTGAGAAAAATTTATTTAAAAAACAGCTTGGCCAAGGAAGAAATCTACTTAGTTGTAATCTGACCTCCCATTCATCGCCATGAACATGGTAACAAGTACTTGACAAAAAATTCAAGCTACCCTTGAACTCGATTTTCATTTCTGAGATGTTTCCAGAACAAAAGCCATACCCCATCATCAGCTACTTATTCACCTCTTATTTAGAATCACAGCAAAAATCTACTCCAAAGCATATTGCATAGATATCCTCTCCACAGTATCCTGACATACGACATTCTTTGCAAACAGAACCTTCAAGACATCTCCAGCCAAATCTGATTCCTCTTCATGAGCAATTCCTTCAACTAAGATTATGTAAGTCATCTCATTAGGTATATAACCCTTCTCAATCATTGATATCAAAACATCAATTGAAAGATCTGTTCTCTCAGCCTTGCAGAGTCCAAGTATGAGAGCATTATAATTCTCAACATCGGGTTTGAAATCATTTTCCACCATGACATCAAAAATCTCAAGCGCCTCATCTAACATTCCTTCCATACAAAGGCCTCTAATCAAGGATGAAATGGTGTAAGAATCAGGAGTAAAACCACTCTTCGTCATCTCATTCAGAAGTTGAAATGCACCATACGTGTTCCCCTTCTTACACAAGAATGTTATTATATTCCGGTAGAAATCATGCATGGAAATTTTCTCCTTGTTCCCCAAGCTCTTAACTATGGAGAATGCCTCTTCTACCATTCCTTCCTCACACAATACCGCAATTGCATTATAAGTTCCTTCATTAGGAGAACAATACCTTTGCAACATCATATCAAGGCACTTAAGCACCATATCCAACTTACCATCTTTACAAAACCTTGAAATTATTGGATTAAAGCTAGAAGCCACAGGCTTAAATCCATTCCCTATCATCTCATTCAAAATTTCAAGAGCTTGTTCGGTCAGACCATCATATGCCAATGCACCAATCAATATATTGTAGGTGATGACAGTAGGAAAACAATTATTATCACCCATCTCAGCCAGAAGCTTCTCTGCCTCTTTCCAGTGGCCCTCATAGCACAAACTCCTCAGCAAAATGTTATAACTTACAACATTTGGTTCGAAGCCTTTGGATGGCAAACTTCTAAAATATTCCAATGCTTCATCAAATCTACCTTCCTTGCAAAACCCAGTAAGCAGTACATTGTAACTAACCAAATTTGGCTTTCCACCCTTCCCAATGATCTCATCCAAAAGCCTCACAGCCTCATCCACCCCTCTTTCCTTGTACGCAGCTTCAAGTAAGAATGAGTAAGTGTAGACATTCGGTGTCAGCCCTCTCTGAATCAATCTCTCCATGAGCTGCAAGCTCTGCTGCAAGTTGCCATGCATACAAAGCCCTCTTACAAGCGAATTGTAAGTAATGGTTGTTGGAGGACATCCATAGCCTTCCATTTTATCAACCAATTGCATCGCATATCCAACATTCCCCCTCTTGCACAACTGATTGACCAAAAATGTGAATGTGGGAGAATCAGGAGTCTTTCCTGCACTAACCATGAGTTCCATAACCCTAACCGCCTTCCGAATCTTGTTAATTTTGCAGAAATCATACAACAAATTAGTAGCTTGATTTGCATCCGGCTTGTGGCCTCTTCCTACCATGTGTTCCAAGTAAAGGAACGCATCATGGAGCCTATGCTCTTTGGTTTTAAGATCATTCTTCCCATTTTTCCAGCTGGGTAAAGTGAAAGCTGTCTCCTTTTGAGCAAAAGTTAGGTTGGCAAAGACTAAAACCCTAGAAAAAGCCTTTTTGAGGGGAAAGATGTGGGGATTCAGCTGTTGAGTGAAGGGGAAGAATTTTCCTTTCTCGTTGCTTGGAAGAGGCAAGATAGAGTGTGGAAAGGCTTGCATGGCTTGCCCACTACACTTTCGAGCAACCCCAAACGAAAAAGAGTTATCTAGATAAAGAAACTGCAATGGGGAAGACGAGCATCTTCTTTTTACATGGGTTTTCTGTAGCTTTTAACCAAATAAATAGAACAAAGGCGGAGATTTCACGCGCGCCCGGGCGCACAGAGATGTCAAGGATGATAGACGATAGAGCTGCTTCGGTAGTTTTCTCAAGAGGGGAGTAGACCGACCTCCATCATCCACAAGCAGTCGAGGATTACAGACCATCTCTTACCACATATTTTCCTTCTACTTTATTTGTTATTAATTATTATTAGGGGTTTACATACATACCACTTTATTTCATGTTATTTACATATCTAACATTCAAAACATTAATTTTACATGACTACCACCCATAAAATAAATTTAAATACATGGAATGAAATATTAAAACTTATATGATGGTATGAATGGTAGAAATGAATTTATAGGAGTGGTATATTTAATATTAAAGTTGTATATGGGTGGTAGGCATCTAATATTAATGTTTTAGATGTTAAATATGTAAATAGCATGAAATAAAGTGGTATGCATGTAAATTTTCCTTATTATTATTATTATTAGACAAATATTATGTATTGCTTATTTAATTATTTGATTTTAAGCCTCATTTAAATTTCACATTTATTTATTTATCTTTTCTCTAGATCATATCACTTCTAAAAAAATGTGATATTTCTTTTATGTCATGCCTATTTATCAAAATAAAATATAAATAATCAAATCTAAATATATTTTTACAATACTCAAATAACTAGATGTGTATGACAACTAACTCATAAATAATTATATTCATATAAATCTATTCATAATAACCAACTTAACATGAAGAATAATAGCATATAAATTTTGACTAACTAGTTCCACTTAATAATGATGGAGAGCTTCCCCTATGGCATAATAGGGATAGCACACTTCTTACATTGATATTACGAACAACAAGTTTAATTCATGATGATAGTGAGAGCAACAAACTCCTTAAGATTAGGAGATAAATAATGTGTCATTTGTGTTACTATGACAATGATTAGGGTGGAGTCAAAAAAAAAAGGTGAAATATGCATATCCAATGGTGATGAGATTAATTATTTGAAGCACAACAAACAAAATAAGAGCAAAGAAGCAAAAACCCATGAAGAAACATTTTGTTATCATTCTTAAAAATTTGGAAAATAAATAAAAGAAGCAATATTAAATGATAAAATAAAAGAACAAGCTTGCATACAAGTATTTGAAGGAGTCGTAGATAACTGGGAAGCATGCAAGTCGAGACACAGTCCATCCATTGCAGAAGAAAGATGAAGACAACTGGAGCCAAATGACCATATGAAAGTTTCATCAATAGGCAAGCACCACCAGGGGCTGAGCGATTTTTTTCAAGTGGGGCACAAATCATTAAAGTAAGAAAAAATTTCTCACATTAAAATTTTTTTAGATCCAAAAAATGAATAATCAAACAAATTACTAAAAGTAAACAAAAGTTGAAGCAGTTTTCACTTTTATCCCAAATTTACTAAATCTGAAACAATATTTTCTATCCTAATAGACTAATAAATTAAATGTGAATAAATTGCTGACCGGTACCCAAAAACAAAAGCCCATACGCCAAAAGTTTTCTCAAAAAACATAAGACCACTCAAAAAAAAAAAAAAACAAATCAGAAGATCATAATCAACGACAATCATGAAAAGGTAAAAAGATTTTACTGTTAAAATCTGCTACCAGATGCAGACATCAAACGTATGGAAGAGTTTGGGGTCGGCTTAATCGGCATCAAACAGCCGTAATCCAAGTAAGAATTACGACCAGAAGAAGACCTCCGGTAGATGCTTGCGATTTCTTGCTCGTTTCCAACTGAAGGATTTCCTCCTCCTCCTTAACTATCAGCACAAAAAAGCACGTGCTCAACCCCAATGCTACCCTTGCCTTCCAGGAGCCTTCGAAGCAAGATATTCTTCAGGGCAAAACATGCCAAGCTGGAGTCGAAGCACGCGAAGAAGTCAAAGAAGCTTCGTTAGCAACTCAATCTTTCAATACTAAATCCGGAGGGGAGGGGAGGGAAAGCAGATGACGACCTTTTTTCAAATGTGAGAGGGAGAAGGGTTGGGACCGAGGGTTGCGGGGTGGGCTGGTTCTAATGGAATACTATGGAATGCGAAGGAAGATAATACTAAGTAATGCGTGAGGAAGACGAAGGGTCATGACAGATTGAGGGTTACAATAAACCACATGTAACTCTTCACGTGAATGCAAAGAAATAAGTGAAAAAACCCCTTCGTCTTCTGCTTGCTTTAATACAAGTTTTATGTTCATAAATTAATATGTAATATAATTTAAACGATCTTTAACTTAAGATAAATATTTTAATATTAACGTTAATATTAAAACATTAATATCATTTGCTATAAAATATATATTTAAATAATAATTACCACAGATAATGAATTAAATATTTGGCTCGAAACTTTTATATGTCATTAATTGTTACGTTACAATTAATTAAGACTTTTTAATTAAGCATATGAGATATGAAGAGAAATTATAATTAATTGAATTTAATTGACGCATGAGAATAGAGAGTAGAAATTAATGGAGTGTGTTATAAATAAAGAATTTGAAGAGACATAAATGAACGTTTCAGATTATTTTAAAATTTACAAATGAACGATTAGGATCTACTAAGAGTGGAATCCCAAGCCACTTTTATATAGTAGTATAGATTTGCTGTTAAGCCTCTTTTTAATTTTAACGTTTATTTATTTATTATTTATCTTTTCTCTGGATCATATCACTTCTAAAAAAAAGGTGATATTTATTTTATGTCATGCCTATTTATCAAAATAAATAGTTTCAATATATAAATAATCAAATCTAAATATATCTTTACAATGCTCAAATAACTAGATGTGTATGACAACTAACTCATAAATAATTATATTCATACAAATCTATTCACAATAATCAACTTAAACACGAAGAATAATAACATATAAATTTTGACTAACCATATCCACTTAATAATGATAGAGAGCTTCCCCTATGGCATAATAGGGATAGCACACTTCTTACATTGATATTACGAACAACAAGTTTAATTCATGATGATAGTGAGAGAAACAAACTCCTTAAGATTAGGAGATAAATAATGTGTCATTTGTGTTATTATGACAATGATTAGGGCAGAGTCAAAAAAAAAAATTTGAATGGGGGCACAAATTAATATGATTCATTAAATTACTCTCAAAAGATTATTTTTTTTAGTGTGATCGTAAATCATGAGATATATTTTAATAAAATTTTATAAAAAGTACAACCAAAATTATATTTGTTACCGCTAAAAAGGAATCGATATATTAGCCTCATTCTTATTATTAATTAAAAATTAATATTTTTCCCAAATGTCTATTAATGAATTGAGTTCATATAAATGAATTTTATATTTATGATTATTTTATTTGAATTGTTTATTCAAGTCTTAATTTTGAACTATATTTAGATTAAATATATTTAAATTAGTATGACATAATATTCTACCTAATTCTAAATTAAATTAATTTGATATAATGGTTCACATTTAATTAAAGAAAATAATAATTTATATAAATTTATAAAGTTAATATTATTAAGTTAATTAATTTACTTAATAAGATTTATTAAAACTTTGTATTAATTAATTAACTTATTCTAAAATAATTTTACAAAAATTTTATGCAACACATCATTGCCTAATTCCCCTCCCCCCCCAAAAAAAAAAAAAAGAGCTACAATGATATTGGGGTAATCAAGAGCAAAGACTAGAGAGAGTGGAGATGGGATTTTTCAAAAAAGAGTGGGGAGAGATAGAAAGTAAAGAGAATAACATAGAGAGAGAGTGTAGCAAAATTATTACGTGCGGTCATTAGATGTCGTCCAAAGGCCAATTAGGACGCATCATGTCATATAAAAAGTTAAACTTAATCACAATTTTTAGACGTTCAAAATTTCTGAGCAGAAAAAATTACTGCATTTACAAAAAATCTCAAATAAATACTTAAAATATTCATAATCTCAATCTTTATAATATATAAAATATTACACGGTAAAAGTTTTACCTATACAAAATTATTCTTATTTTTCAATAACGAAAACACAAATTTGATCAGAAAAATATCAAAAAAATAAAAAAATCTTTTAAATAAGAAATATAGTAAAGGTTCCGTACAGCTGGACAAGCAAATTTTCCAACTACGTTGACGGACGAAAATCACTCTACGGACTCCTAATCCTAACTTTTTCTTTCTCTATCTTCTCTTTTTCTCTCAAAATCCTCTAAAATGTCTCTGTTAGCCAAATGCTTATGAATTAAATGATTTTTAATGAGAAAGTAGAATTGCTTTAAGATAATTTATAACAAAATAATATATAATATTGATATAATATTTAATTTAATCAATTTTCAATATAAATTTTATATAAATCAATTTAGGACTTTAACGATTATAGAAAAATATTCATAAAATAAATCATTTTATTTAGAAAATATTGGTGAAATCAATTTGTCAAATAGATATCTAACAGTCTCAAAATCCTCGCTTGTACTAACAGGTGTCGATTTCTTAAGAATTTTCACTTGTGCCAAAAAAATTCGTGCAATTAAAACACTACAATCTCAATTCTATAGCAAAAATAATTAGCAATTTGGAGTTATATTGACTCCAAAAAAATATTTATCTATGTCAAAATGTGAGTTGTTGCACGCTCGCTCAATCTTCTAACCTCCTCCAATATATGAGTTTAATGTCCGCACATGTTTTTCAGACATTTTTTAACTCAGTTGCTAAGTTAGCTAGCTGCTAGCTAACTAAACTCTCCTGGCTACCTACGGAGTGGCTGGTGGCTGAAGAGTATTATTCCTCAAATGCGAATGCCTACAAGCCTAATCCATAAATTTGTCCCTTATGTATTCTACCTACCACCTACATCCAATGGCAATAGTAAAAAGTATCTATAAAACCCACAAAGGATCCCTTTCCAGCAGCATCTTGGCTCTCTCGAAGCCAAGCATAATCATCCTATATATAAAACATAATATAAAATTAATCATCATATAATTATCGCTTAGAATATTTTTGTAAGAATAATATTCTTATATACTTAAATATGCCATACTGGCTCGTTCATCCACCCACTACTAGTCTTGCTGATGCTTATGAGTGTAACTATGTAACTCAACTGAAGTGGGCTCTCTATCAAGCATCTATCTCCTTTTACACTATATTTTAGTTTAGAATGTATATATAAAGAAATTATTAAAATTTATTAAAATTCTTACCAATCGTCGTCTATGCTCATTGTGGAACAGAGCCCCTAGTATGTAGGGAGCTTCCCAGACCTCTGACATCGGAAGATCTATTATGCATGTTCTGCTCCCTCCTCACTATGTAGTCTGAGCCACCCCAAGCAGTCTTGAGTCCAGCCCATACACACTCAGCAATCCAAAGAGGATGCTTGTATGTCTATCTAATGTGAGTAAATATGTTTCACAGAAGAGTTGCTCCACGCTTCTTAAAATTTATTCTAATTTGAGTATCAAGTTGAGGCAACCAATAGAAATCTCATTGTACACAACAAATTAGGAAAAAATATTATTTATTAGCTTAATAAAAAAAATGGGCAACTGTTAATAATATTGAGGCTTACTTACCTCAAACTTTCTGATCGAACCATGTGTCATGTACTTCATTGAAGAAGATACTTAGTTCGGTTAAGAGATTTAAAATTAAATATGGAAGAGAACTAAAAATAATGGGCAACAAACATTCCATGATGATGTGACAGTCATGACTTTTTAATTTTAATAATTTCTACGATCTTATATCAACACATCTATTAAGGTTGGAAGCATATCCATAAAGTAGCTTTTGACTCTGCACTCATTCACAAACCACTCTCATTTGCTCTAAAGTGAAAATGAATGGAGCTTTTGACTTTAGAACTTTACCATTTTCACCATCCTTCAACTCAAGCATTTTTTTACTGCAAATATTCTTCAAATCCATCATAGCTTTTACATTATATTTAGATTTGTCCTTGATGTCTATCATTGTATTAAATATATTTTAGAAAACATTTGTCTCTTATGAATCACATCTAAATTATTTCTGATCAAGTTTGTTCTTCAACAAGGCAAAGACAAGAAAATACTCTTCTTTGACCAATTATGAGTAACTCCACACCCGGGTAAATTTGTGATGGAATTGTGGTGAAAAATTCATCTCAATTTTGCCACAATTCCATCACAAAATCTATGACAAAAAATTCCATCGCAAATCCGATGCAATTTTGTCGAAAAAAAATTTTCATCGCAAATCTGCCGCAAATCACTAGTTTTCTTGTTGTAAATATTTAATCAGTCTTTTATAAGTATAATTGAATATTGTGATGGGAACTCGGTTTAACCTACTAAGTTATAGACTCTCTCTACTATTGTCATACAATTTCTAGCAAAGGTAAAAAATATCATTGATTAGTTTCGGTCTGATAGAAAGCAAGAAATCTAGTCATCACGTATTTATGATTTTGAAATTTCAGGATATTATATTTTGTTAAACATATTGGAATTTAGATTCTTGTATATAATTATTTTTGAAAATGAAACTTATATTTTGCATACTCTGGATATTTATTTTACGTACATGTAATGATTAGTGGATCTAATGTATTTACATTTGTGAGTGATTGGCTTAGTTTAATAAAGGAATAAAAGTTATATTCTCTTTAAATCTTTGGGTGTCACAATTCTTACTCATATTTTTAATAGTTTTGATTTTGTAAGGATTTTCTCTCTCTTGAAATTATTAAAAATGTATTTTCTTTTAATACTTCGAGCTTTGTATATAACTTTTTTGTATTTGTAGATATGATTTTCATAAGTATTTTGATTATAATATTATTGAATTTTACCTGGTAAATTAGTAGTTATGAATTTCTGATGTTAATGTATAGTATATAAATTTTATAATTTTTTTCTGTATTTCATGGATTATTATATTAGTTTGTATTATAGTTTCATAAATCACTTTTAGCTTTATGATAATGTTGATTTTACTATTGATTGATATGGATTTTAAATTTATTTATTTCTTATTCTGATAGACTATTGATTATTGATTGATATCAACTGGAATTAGAGCATGTATGTTAATTATCTTGCCTTACATTAAATATAGTGGTATTTTTTTATTACATACTTACTGGGCTTTTATGTTCATTATGATTTTAGGTAAATATAAGAAACCTGCATAGTAAGCCTAGAAAGTGGCAATAGTTTTGTTCTACTTTTAGCTCTTTTGTTTTATATGAACTCTTTTATAGCCTGTAGTGACTATTGTATATATTCTTTTGGACTTTAGACTTTGAAATAATATATAAAAATTGACTATATAAATATAATTATGTTTATTGATGTTTATATTTTTTCTAAATGCAAATTAATTAGCTCTAATTATCAATGATTTGATTGTTAATGAATTGAAAAATAAATGATAATAAAGAAGAAATTAAGTTTTTTTTCATTTTAGATCCTGAGGTGTGACATCTTTGAGGACCTAAATTATTATTATTTGGATAAATAGACTTTGATGTTTGAAAATAGGAGCCAATTAATACATCACTAGAAAATATATCCTTTCAAACATTGAACTTGTGGAAAGTATTTGAATTAGGTATTCATGGAATATATCGACTTCATGACCATTTCAACTTTATTTTTAATAAATTTATAATCAAAATATACATTTTGAAGAGGCAATCTAACAAAGACAAGATCATCCAAATTTTATGTCAGTAATATATTTAAATGATCAAATGAATTATATGATCAAGGGATCAATATGAAGAATCTCATGGAGTGATTTGATTTCTAATTAAAATGACTATAATGTTCAACTCTAGAAATAAAGAAATAAGCCCTATACTTGAAATGACCATAATGCCGCTCTCTTAAAATATATAAATAAGCCTACTTCCACACATTTGGAAGGTTAGGAAATGCACAAGAATGATTATAGATGAGTCTCTAGAGCTCTATCTAGAAGCACTCGATAATAAGGTCAATTCTTGTCAACCGCACCGATGAACTTGTCCATTGTTGTCAATATAGTTGATGCCTACTGTCGACACCAACACTAAAACTCGCTATTGACATCAACCCCAATATCCTCCATCGAAACCAATGTTAGCATCCACTGCTAACACTACACTAACACTTTCCATTGCCAATAAGCCAAATGCTTGTTGTAGATAATAATGTTAACTCTTTCCATCTCTACTAAGGTTTATGTATGCATTCTTAGTTAAAGGTTATCCGTCCTATAAAGATAATCACTAAACAAACCATCAATAATTTCTTAATAACATTTTTAACTTCTCAAGGCTACTGCTTCCACCATAGAAGTTATCTTTCACATTTCATATTTAGAATAGTGTATCAATATCTTTTCCATTTGAAGAGAAGGGCATTATATTTATAGTCAATGACTAACATTATCTGAATTATTTTACCTAGGTCAAGTCATACGGTTTGCCCCATTCCTAAAATTTTTATTTAAAAAAACCACAAGTCGCTTATAAGCTACTCTCAACTTATTTATTAATGTGTGTGGAATTTTTGTTAAGACTATAACCTTTCTATTCTACTGCTAATTTTACAACATGTAATATTTATATTGATATATTTATAGGAATATAGTTGTGGGACACTACTCCCTTTCTCTAACTCCTCTAGGTTTCCCTCTTTACCCCACTAAGCTAGAAGACTAGTCTCGAATGCCTTATCTCTAACTATTATTATTTATCGCTCTTGTTAATTAATTTTTATAAAAGCAAATTTTCACGGTATTGAATCTCAAGATAACACAATTATTTTTAATTACCTATGAAATATATATATTATTTATAATCTAGCTAGGTTAATCAGATTTTATATTAACTTAATAATTTGATAAGCATGCGAACAATAGGATGATCATATAAAATATGAATGACCAACAAAATTATACTTTTTGGCTTATATTTCATTTCTCAAAACCATTTAAACTCCTTTAAATATAATGAATAATTCATGAGTTTAATTTTAATCTATTTGAAAAATACTAATCACCCATTGTAATCATGCATGCATAATTATCTTTTCATGCAATTGGATCCTTTTCATTAACAAAATTTTAATGAATTTACTTAATAATAAAAATCTATAAAGCACTTAATTTATATCATGTGTATATAGCTAAATTGAAATTAAGGTCATTAAAAGTACAATTGCTATGTTATATTACTTCTTGAAGGTAAATATATTGAAATCTAGTTGAAAGGATATAGATGATTATTCTCTTCATAAGAGGAAGAAATTCATCTCAAATGAAAAAAGTATACATGTATATGTATGTGTATTCACATAAAACGAGCCAAGGTGGTGTTGACAATATAATCAGCCAACAGTTTATTCATCTTCTGCGTAGGGTGGATAGCATCCCAGAACACATACTTATCTGCATTTTTACATGTTAATGGAATCTTGCACAAGTAGCCCAATTCCATTAGTCCACTGGCACCACAACAACCTACCTTTGCAACCTCAAATCCTACACATAACAAAATAGTTGGTAAAAAGAAAAGAATTTGAATGAGTTAGATTTTTGAAAAAAAAAAATCTTAAATTTAGTAAAGAGGTGAGAATTAGAAAACTAGAATGTGGGTAGTAGGCTTTACTTTATGCGAGCTTATTCATGCAATGAGATCTAAAGCTGACTATATAAGTCAAGCTAGACAATTAAAGCAGCATCATGCCTCTCATTTTAGATTTCATTTGGGGCAGCTTTCTTACTGTTTTTTAAAATAATTTTTAGTATAAAAATTAAAAATTGTGTACTATAAAGCTAGTTTATGAAGAAATAAGAAAGCCGTCCCAAACAAAGCCTTTTTTCTTTCATTTAAGCGAATCTTTTTATGTTTTGGGATTTAATTCTTTTATACCCTTCACCACCGTTGTAAATACAAGTCTTCATATCCCTCCTTCATGCTACCTTTTCACAACTTCTATGGTAGAAATAACTGCATTAATTCAACATGATGGATATTTATATTTGCTAAGTCATTTTATTGTTACTGCTACATTTTTTCTCCCCTTAAGAATTTGACTTATAAAATTCATGTTATTTTAATATGTTATCATGATGGCATGCTTTGCATGGTGAGTTTGGTGACTATATTTTGTTTTGTATGTTATGTAAGTTGCTTCTTTCATTCCTTATGATATATTATTTACTAAATAACTAGATGTCAAGTATCACATTGCGAGGAATAACTAATTAACCTCGATAACAATATATGTCATAGTTAAAATGGTGGTAGAATTAAGCTGAAAATATATACTAATAACGATCTCTCTCGATTTTCCCAAAAAAAAAAAAAAAATAACGATCTCTCTTCTTGCAAGTTTAGATATATGTGTTTATTGCACTATAAATTTCAAAGTTAAGCCATCCTTACACTATATATATGTTGACTTACAAAATTTGCTTTCTTTGTCACAACCCCTTGTGGGTTAAATTAATCTAGTAATCAAAGTGGTACATATGATACTACTTGAATTGCATTGATTTCATAATATTTAAATATTATTGTGCCCTAAAAATATATAATTTACTATTAATCCATCAAATAATACAACATTTTATTTAAATATTTATATGCATATATGTTATACTTAATAATATATATCAGTAAACTTTTATACTTATTAATGAGATGTTAAAAATCATGTATAAATATCACTATATTTTAAGACTAAACATCTTAAAATACTCTTTAGTAAATTATAGTTAGGGCTATCAAATATAATAACTATTATTATGATTCATGGATCTCCTCTGATCTGAACGGGAAAATCTTATTTGAAATATTATTAATATGCTAGTGATTATAATGAAAATATTTTATATATAATATAATTATAAATGATAGGAACAAGAAAAATTTAAACATCTAATAATTTCATTATAATTGAATATTTAAATTTTATCAATATGTTCATGTATATGAATAAATGTTTTTAATCCTGAAAAACTAAGACTCCTATTTATACAATTATCCTCAAGTTAGGAAAATAGTTCTCTTATGTGTTGCTTCGATCTTGAATAACAAGAATGATCTTAACATAAAATCAGATTATAAATTTATTCTTCATTGAAAAATCAGTAGAATTTAAGAATAATGAAGTAACTATATAGATTAAGGGAAACTATTTAAAAAAAAAAAATTAACTCACCATAAGAAGATGGACTCTTGACAACTGTGTCAAAGAAATCATAAATATTGCCATAAACCAGGCGGAGGTCCGGCCTTTCCATGCTGAGCTTCTCCACCAATTTCTGCAGCTCGACGTTGAACTCTCGGGCCACTCTGTTGTACTCCTGGTTGCATTCGTCAAACTGAAACAGCCGAGAGTTGATTGAGCGCTCCAGTGGCAGGCAACCCATTGGAGGCAGCCCAGTGAGGTCTATCTTTCGAGCTCCCAACGCATAGATTTCATTCACAAACCACTTGGCGATTCCAATGAGGAAACTCTGGTACTCTTTGACGGTAAGAGCTGAAGACCTGACGGGAACAGCAAAATAGTTCTCCAGGAAATCGTTGGTCCCTATGCTTATGATGTAGAGACCCTCCCCTATTGTCTCCCTTGCCTTTGCCTCTCCTTGGAAGCCTTTCAACTTCCCTATGTAATCTTTGAAGTACTCCAGCTCCTTCCACAGTGGAATGACAGACTAGGAAGAAACGATGATTAAAAGCAGTATTTATAAGAATTTTACATAATTTAAGAGAAAAGAAAAAAAAAAAAGATCTATTGACATTGAATGAGTTACGTACCGCAACGTTGGAAGTGGCATTGTCGTAGCCGGTGGCTGCGGAGGCAAAGCAGACGCCAATGGCAAAGTCCTTAATGCCATACGCCGGATCAAGATAAGGTGGAATTGCGGGGGAGAGGTTGAAGGCTTGGGAGATGAAGTCTGTGGCTAGTCGACCGTTGGAGAATCTCCCCGTTGGTTTTCCTCCATCAAAGTCGCGTCCATAGGGCTCATAATTGGACTTTACAACAGTGTTGACGAAATTGTTGTTGCCGGAGTCGACTGTCGAGTCGCCAAACACGATGATCACCGGGACCTTCGCTGCAGAAGAGCCAAGCAGCACAAGCAGGAGCAGAAAAAACAAGCCCAGACACCATTGCGGCATCTTCACTATGCTTGTTCCAGGTTCTTTTTTGCTTGTGGCCTTGCAGGTTATTATTCTGTTCTGGTTGGTTATCTGAAGAAGAAGACGAAGAAGAAAAGTAGCTTGTTTTTGTAACGACAATATTGTTTGGTGATCTGAATGCAGAAATCGAGCTGATATTCTTACCGACTTTTTTTAGCCACTTTTAATGGGATACAAAAAAAAAAAAAAAAATTTTTTCCAGAATTTGTTGATGGTGGGATTGACTTATCAATACCAGTTGAGCCTGTTGAGCCAAATGATTCAGTTATCTAAAAATACTGAAATGGTAGTTGTTGCGTGCGAGAATATACGCGGCGGTAGAGTTTGTAAATTCACGTCCTAGCGTTGCACGAGTATTTCACACACAAACAGAAAAGAGAAAGTGAACACCAAGGTTTTTACGTGGAAAACCCCAAAAGGGAAAAAACCACGGGGCCTCGCCCAGTTGTAAAGTTTCACTAGTGATTTAGCAGATTACAGATGGTTGATTCGTCCCACAAGTTGGGATAATCAGAATACAATTTGTTTCTCCCAGGAAGTTTACAAAATTCTGCAGATTCTCTGCGTTTTCCGAAAATTGAACTACTTCTCAAAAGAAAACCAAAAGCTGGAGAGAATTCTAAGATATTATTGTTATTGTTCATTGTACAAGAGAAGCTGTTTGTTATGTATTTAATATTTTTGTCTAATGAACTATTATATGTTTTTGGTATTTTTATACTGGTTTGGCCTTATATTAAATTATATATATATTATTGAGTCCGAGAGTTTGCTATCTTAGTATTTATATGAAGCCGATGGAAATTGTTCATTTTACGACCGATTTTCGGAGAAAATTTTTTTCGTCCGTAAAATCCACGTAAGAAAATTTTTCTAACAAAAAATAATTGTCAAAAATTATTTTTTTCCAGTAGAACAAAACCAACGAAATTTTTTTCTAATGACTGTCTAGCGAAAAAAGGCTGCCGAAATAATTTAAAAAAAAAAAATACAACAGCAGCTGCTCGCCCAGTTGCCCGAGCGCTGCACGCCTACCCGCAACTGCTACCCAACAACTGGGCATTTGTGAATCCCGTGGGATTTTCACCTGAAAGCCGCTGAAACATATTCAATCGAAAAATCCGTCAGGAATAGGCGATTTTCATGTAGTGGGTCCAACACACTTATTGATAAGATAGGGGTGCAAGTATTGTAAGACACTTGTTTTTATGTGAAAAATCTAAAAAATAAAAAAAAGTATAGGGCCTAACTCAGTTAAAATAATTCCAATAATACTTTTCATTGATCATAAATGATGCCCTTCCTCAATGGACTATGTTGATTTAGTGTAGTAAACATACAATGTACATAGTATATTTTGTGATTAAAGTTGGAAGTGTCTTGTGGCATGAGAGTTGTCTTTAAATTGCTTGTTTGTTGGATCTAAATTATTTGAGAATGTGAGAATAGAGACTAAGAAGTGCATCCCAAATCCTTGCTAACTTCAAGAGTCAAAGTTAATATCAATGGCATGCATCGATCTTATAAAATAATGAAATGTATAGATTGAATTTATTAGTAATGATAGCTAATTAAGTCAACGTGCATTAATATAACTAGGCGACAATAATTAGAAGAATGTGGGATAGAGAAGAGGCAATAGTTCGAAGACTGTAGAACGGAGGATTGTAGTTAAGTGATAGAGGTTCCAAATAAAAGTTGGAAAATCGTAGTTGAACAATGGTAGTCGGAGGATTCTAATTGGATGATGGCTAGAGGATGTAGTTTAGCAATAATAGTAAGAGGACCATAGTCAAGTAATGTTGGTTAGAGTTTGGAGGACTGTTATCGAATGATGGTGGTTAGAGGGTCATAAATGAATAATAGTGGTCGAAGAATTATAGTAAGGCAATAATGAATTAGAGGATCATAGTTGGAAAATAGCTATCGAAGGACTATATATAATAGGGCGATGATGGTTGGAGGATAGTAATTGAATGACAAAAGTCAAAAGGTCGTAGTTAGGGTGATAATGGTTGGATGACCAGTCATCAGATGATGAGGGATTAGGGATCATAGCTATGTCATTGTGGTCATATGACCATAATTCAATAATGGTGGTCAAATGATCATAGTTGGACGACAATGGTCAAAGGCTCATAGTCAAACGATTGTGGACAGAGGATCTAGTCGATCAACAATGATCGGAGGATTGTGATTTGAGGACCATGGTCAGAGAACTATGATTGGAGGACGATGATTAGAGGATGGTGGTCGGCTGGTTAGAGGATCATATTCAGGGAGGTCATAGGACAGTAGTCAAGTGGTTGTGGTGGAATGATGACAATCATCTAGTTTTCCTATAGCAACTATTAGATGGTTGTCAAATGGTTGTGATCGGGTGGTGGTCTGATAGAGGTAGCTGGTTAGTGCTTCGAAGTTATCTATCAGGTGTTACTTCAATAACAGCAATTCCATAGTGGCAATCGAGTGGTGGTCCAACTCCAATGGTCTGACAGTGGTGTTTGAGTGAAACTTTAGGATTGTTAGAGTCTCTCTATTCTCTTAAATCTCAAGCCAAAGTCCAATGTACAATTCCTCCATAACGTAGAGAGTAGATATCCATTTATAGATTTTTTTAGAGTGGCATATCCCGTAAATATAGTTAAAATCCAAAACATGTCACCGGACGGATCATATTAATTTCATCAAATCATAAATTATTCTTTTAACATTTGAGGGCCTTAATATTGTCAAAATTAAGTAATTATAAGCTCTTTGGACTTGTTTCATCAAGATGCTCAATATGATCATAAGCATGTCAAATTTTGAAAATAATTTCATCCTCTAATTAATATTCAAATTTCAATCATGCTTTAAGAGTTTGAGTTGGGTTTACTCAGACTTAGATTGAACCGCATTTGATATCATTGAGTTCATTTCATCGAGACATTTAGTTCGACTGATGATTTATTATAAATCCTATGATATCCCAAAATACCGAACAAATTATTAATTATATCCTATAATTATCTCAACAAGATAAACATAATCTATTCTTAACGGAAAAAACTACTACTAATTTCTAATTATTTTCTTTTTAAAGACCTATAACTGTATGTAAAATTAATTATGAAATTATTAGAAAAAATAAGATTTTTAAAATCTGTAATGAATATTACGGTTTTTTTTTTTAACATCACATTCTAATTTATTTGATTATAAAAAGCTCATTCTTATGCTAATTTTTAAAAATATATAAAAAAAATTATATTTACATGGAGCCAGTGGCTCAACAGTTGGGAGAATTTTCTCCTACTATTGAGTTCTACTCTTGAAACACATGCAAACATACTAACTGCTAATTTTTAATTTAAATTTGCTCAAGTCCCAAACAAAATGGATAATCATCAACAAATTAAAGCTCAATAACTAATTTTAGAAGGAAGCCTCTAAATACAGAGTTTTTAATCTATTAAGCCTTAGTTAATTATTTCAATAACTCTAATCAAATAGTTTAAGGTTTATAACATTTTCCGTGGAAAATTTATTTTGTGCGATCACCGAATGACATCCAAAAGTGAATGAGAATGCGTCACATTTGTTGTGTATTATTATTGTATTGCTTGATATTAGGGGTGTCAATTTCGGGTCACGGGTCGGGTTTGGGTCGAACCCAGAACTGACCCAGCACTGTGCGGGTCAACCCGAACTGACCCGTTTTTACAAACGATCTGCTTTTGGGACCCAAATCCAACCCGCTTCGGGTTCGGGTCAACCCAACCTGACATGGTTTATGGGATTTGACTGAAGAAGGGCGTGAAGATGAGGTGAGTTGCAGCCTCCCGTTGCTGGTTCCAGTCTCGGCGAGGTGCCTTGGAGGCTTGGACTGCGGCGAGCTCCCTCTCCGATTTGGGTCAAACGTCAAGGACGCAAGGTTTCCAATGAGCTCCCACTCCTTGCGTCTGGTGGTCCCGCGGAGCTGCAGATGAAAGGTGCGGCGGGGCGTCACTCCTGGCGTTTGGCCGCTGGCGGTCTCGCGGAGCTTCTGATCCAACTGTGATGGACCGACAGGCGACGCTGAAAGTATGACGAACTGAATGTGACGGGACGAGTGACTAGCTGACACGACTCGTGAGTGATGCGCGCCGCGGCTAACAAGTGACGAGAATGACGACTGACAGGATGTTTATGGGTTAAATTAGATCGGTTTCGTGTTTCCGGGTCAACCCGAATCCGACCCGTTTTTGTAAACGGGTCAAAATCTATGACCCTAACCCGACCCGGTTTTTGTAAACGGGTTGATCCGAACCCGAAATTTTCGTGTCGGGTTCGAGTCGGGTTTTCGGGTCGTGTCCAATACTGACACCCCTAATTGATACTGAATGATGTGATGTATTTTGATTAGTAACCACACAAAATAATTTCTTCTAAGTAGGAAGGGTTAATGCACCCAATGCCTCTATCTAATCCATTATCGTTATGACTAATGATCATCCTTAATTAATTTCCGAATTCTAATAGTATCTTATCAGATGTTCGTTTCCTTTATTATTGCTTTATTGTCAGTTAGGCTGTCATATATTGTCGGCGGTCACTGAAGGCACAAGGAAGTTTCAAGATCCACTAAAACCGTTCAAAAGCTCTTCGAGATAATATTCTGATGCCAATCTTGATGTTCTGAGATCGGATGTTCGAACTATTCCAAGGGTAAGATGCATTTGTATCGTTTTTATAGATATGACATGTTGTATAAGATTTTGGAGACTCGATCGGTCCGTTTTCTGCTTTGCCACTATCGAAGAGGTCGCCAGGACGTCGCTGGCAATTTTTCTTTTGCAAATAAACCTATAACAACCTTAGAATTATGTAGCAAACGCTTTCGATGCCTTTTATTATTATTATTATTATTATTATTTTGTGTAATTTAGGGACTAGAAGAATAATTATAAAAATTTACAACTCAGTAAAACAGAAAAAATCTGTGAGGAGCTGCAATAAAAAAAACTGCA